GACTCGTGGTACCTAAAATTTTCTACTCGTGTCTTTAAAACTATCTTTACGAAATCGTTGCTTAAACCACCAAAAAAAATCTGTAGCGAACCATAACGTCTGATTTGTATAGGTAACAAAAACACCGATAAAGATTAATGATGATGGTTTTATAATGAGTTTACTGTAACGATGAATAACATTAAAAATGAACCAGCCCCAATAATAACTAGTTAGTTTATGTTTTGAAATAAAGGTGAGTTTTAATTACTACTCAAGCCAGTGAAACATTATAAATCTGATAAAGGTTTTTAAAAGAAAATCCATCGGAAGCAACCCCATGTCAGATACACTAACCAGGTTTTGCTGGCCTCATTATCCTAAAAGGATTTGAAGTCGCCTTTGGGTTTTATTAAACCTTCATTGGCAGGAAGGTAGAATGATTCATCTTGAATACAAAATGCTTAAAGAGCAACTTTAGATTATTTTAAAGATTAATACATATCACTATGTCTACAACCACATGTTGACAATCGCTTAGTTTTAACTGGGAAAAACGATTTTTTTACAACTAATAGACAAAAAACTACGAACCTTCGAACCAATGAGAGTAATATGAACGTTTAAAAATAATTATTTAAATCTTAAATTGACGACGTTAGTATTTGTAGTATAAAAAAAACTATTTTAAACTTTGTGTTATATTTTATTGTTTGTGTTGTACTTTGTCTTCAATCTTCTGAACTTCTTGGTTGACTACAACTGTTTCGTGTTCAAATTAACACATCTTCAGATTAAACGTAGCATTGATTTTGTCCATGGAATGGTCGTCGTAAGGTTAAAAGCACACAAATAAGGTTAAGAAAGTGTACTACACAAAAAACTAAGGTTAAAGGGATACTTAAAATATAATGATGTTGAAATACAATGTTAATTTCAACCCTTTTTAGAAATTTACATTTATCCAACCTAACTTTCTTAACTGCCCCCGAAGAGGCCTGTCAAATTAATTCCAACTTCGTCTCTAAGACAGAAGAATTTACCAAGAATCCTTTGATGAATATCAATAGCCTCTTGATATGTTTATTTTGGCGATTATTTTTAGAATGTGGTTTGAGAAAAGTCTTTTATTCGTTATAAATTTACATTTTTAAGGAATGTATATATTATAGTTTTGTAAATTCCAGCCATAGATAGAATGGGTAACTTACATTATTTATCCTTATTCGTGAGTTATACATTGAAACATAAAAAAAAACAATCGTAGTCAAAACGTGAACACAGTTGCAACAGTGGGAAAGAAAATTGTCCAAATTATGAAAAGTATTACATCCTAACACCAAACAAAGTTGTAACAAAATATGTCTAAAAAACCCCTATCCACACAGACCATACTTAACTTACGTTATACCTCATAACACACTACAGTATTCAAATTTCCCTTATGTAAGTTTTATAAAATCCCACAGTCACTTTTATTCTAGATAGAATAGTTTGACACGTTTCCAGAAACTTGTTTTTGAAACTCTAAAAGTCATTTTTTACTAAAAGTGGTTTATAAAGTCACGATTATGTGGTTAGAAGGTACTTGAACTTGATTGCAAAAATTGACTTTAATTCTCTGGTGAGGGATGTTGACAGTTTTTGAACCATTAATGTCTAAAACACGTAACACCTGACATTGACGAGGGATAAATTTAGTTTTTCCATTAGAATTGCTGCTAACTTTGACCCGTCTAAATTCATTAATGAGCTGCGTAAAAAGAGACAAGCAAAGTTAGTTGTAATTTCCATGGTGTTAACCCATTTCTGAAAACATTCGGTAAATTAACCTTCCGTTTGGAAGTAAACATGGAAAAAATATCTTAATTCTTTTCGTGTCTCGTCAATTTTGGTTGTGTTCGGTATATATGGTTTATTATGATATTGTGATATTTTGCTCTCACAAAGAAACTATTTAGAATGATTTTGGCAAAAAAAAAATACTGTTTTAAGAAAGGTCTGTTCTTTACTTAGTATCCTTGTTACATTCTTTTTAGCTTTAATTATATTGATAAGGAATTCCAGCTGTTGTCCACCATGTTTACCTGCCTCCGTATATTGGTTCTGTTAAGAAACAGCTGGTCTTAGTCAGCTGGTCTTCGTCAGTTACAAAGCTATACAGGTCATATTTTGACTCGCACTTCATTTGCATTCATCTTAAAATACGCTAAAGTGTGCGTTACGAAAAACTGTACTGACGTAACAAATTACATACCAATATAGTTATTGATATCTTCAAAGTAAATAAACAAACTATTATCATTACCGGTAGGAAATGAATGTTATTTGTCTCCAATAATACAATGCTGATTCAACTCCATACATTTTGCTTCGGTGCGAGCAGTGAATCGAATTACAATTCAAATAAACCAACTACAAGGTTATTTTACCTTTGCAGTGATTTTTAAGGCTCGCCGAGCAGAGGTAAACCAAGATAAATGGCTTCTATTAGTCTTCCAGAGGACCGCTGTGCGTTTTAGGTGTGTACATCGTCTGTTATTTCTAAAGAAAAGGAGATGGTTTAGACTGCTGCGTTTGAATTCTATGTGACCAAACACTTAACACATTGTATACAATGCGATATGAGATTGACAATTGATTGTGTTTGGAAAGATTACTTAATTATTAACTGCATTACTACTTAATCCTAACAAAAATAAATTATAGTGAGAGTTTTTTAAATATATTTTATTGGTTTGGTAAATAGCTGCCCTACTTCACAGTGAAATAATGACTTTATTAAAGAAATTAGGTGTGATTTTCGTATAATATTTCCATGCGGTAATATTTATATCAATGATTGTTTCAAATTTACTTGTTTTAAATATTTATTATGATATCACTTTTGATTCACATTAAATTCACATTATTATCATGTGAATGTTTAACTCACATAATTCATACTTCGTGAGACACATATAATAATGTCCTTTCACCTTTACCTTGCAGGCAACAACACAAATAAATAAATAATGTTTTAACAAAAGTTATGTTTACATGAACAAATAACCAAACGAAGGAGATCAGCTGTTTGAATTAAATTGAAAAACATCAGATAAAATTAAATTGAGTCATCCTCAACAGTATAGTAAATTAATCTTTCAATACATTTTTCTTTAAAAGATTTGCGAAAAAAGCTATGCTCGTATTGAACACATCGCTTTTCTGTGACAACCATGCAAGTTCGGTCTCTGGACGAAGGACGAGGCACGAGAAAAGATAACAGTGATAAGATCTCGCTATTACCAACTACCATGGACCATTTTATAGAGAAATCTCAGCATTAGTAAATCCCACTGACTCTTAAAGGTCTTTATTTTGAACATATTTAGTAATGTATGCCATTAAAACCGATATGTGAAATAGCAACATCTTAACATAAATTGGCTTGAAATTCAATTAGACTTTTTCCTATAATTTTAATGAGATATGCATGATGGAGATACCAGATAACTGTGCTGATTTTCAGTTCAAACCTAACCAAGGTGAAATAAAGAAGTAAGCCTATGAATGTTTTTCAGAAAACTACCATATTTGAATATAAAACTTTTTATATAGGCCATATTACAGGAATCAGTTATATAGTCTGTATATGGAAACTTGGTATTCATTGTAAGTTAAAGTTCTTTAGTTTAGTTTTAAAACGGAATTTTATAATTGCTACATTCATTTTATACTGAAAAGTTATGATTTTCTAAGCAACCTTACGACATAATTATCCGTGTGAAACTTTAAGCCTGCTCCAACTTACCAAACGATCCCGGTCCTCCTGAAGAGGAATACAGTTATTTAAGTTCTGATTTTTTTAAATAGAGTTTATCAGCTTAGAAAATAATTTATTTCGATCCAATTGTGTTGCTCACAATGCCATTGATAGAAATTATGAAAAACAACGGTCCTAAACTAAAATGTTAGGGCTTGACGGATGAAATAACAGACTAAGTAGAAATAAAGTTCATATTTATTATAAAACATTTATAATGGTCTAGTTAGTTTTAGGTTAAACAAAATATTATATCTTCAACAATATCAGGGATTAATTCATATTTTAAAGTGAATAACAATTGAATAACAACAAGTGAATACTTAAAAAATGAAAACCTGGTGACATTTCATGGAATAAATCCGTCTAAAGCGACCGCGAGACATTAACATAGTTACCAACCAGCTTTGGCGATCCTCATTATCTTAAAAGGATTTGAAGGCACTTTCAGCCTTTATTCAATCTTTATTGGCAGTATGGTCGAATAGTCTTGAATTGTCAAGTAAAAACTGCTTTAAATATATTTGTAACATAATTTATTAACTCATTAGTTACGTTTTCACAGTAGTCTTTGAAACCACTTGTGGAACCACACTGTGTAGAGCCAAGGCCGGCAAATAGTTTTACGGATAGTTTATTTTTTGGAGTGACAGTTTTAGTTACGGTACCAAAATGATTATATAGAATATTATAATATTAGTAAGATGTTCAGTCAACCCTATGCATTCAGAAATTTCTATAGAGCTTCAAAATTTACATAATTAGAAGTCAACTTGTTGGTGGGCCAACCAATGTACTGTATATGTAACCAAATGAAGCCATTTCCTTATTTTTTAATGTTACTACTTATTAATTATTCAAGATAAAATAAGGTTCTGAGTACAAGTACCTTAGCTTCAAAAAAAGTAAATACCATGATAACGTTTTTTACATGCTTTATTAGATACAATGTATGCGAACTTGTGCCTTGAAGATTGTGCCTATCTGTGTGTAGGTGAGTAGGCATCTGTAGTTTCTCTTCCAGTGTTTTTCAGGGACTTCTTTACAGGTTGTTATTTTCAGTGGAAGTTCTAGTTCCTCATGCCTTAGTAGTGATAGCCTTAGAAGATCCAAACAATACTGCCAAGTCCACAATAGGAGCCTGTAGACACTCATCTAATGTTTGCGTGCTTGCTGCCTGTCATCTGCGATGGTCCATAGCTTTCATCTCCTTCTACTAGATGATCCAGTGTCTCCGGTCACAGAGTCCCTGGGAGTTGGTCGACTTTATCCGATGGTATTGGTTGATCTCCTCGCCATGGGCTGGAAAACCATACAATGATTAGTACTGTGTACACTTACAATCAAGATAGACATGTTGCATATGTTCTGTAGTGTTAATGAAACTATCAAGGGCCCTATCCTGAAGATCATGAGGCAGGATACCTGGCCACTGACAAATGTACAACTTCCTGATTTGTAGCTGCAGGTTTCTTTTTGGAAGCTGTTGAAATTGCCAGCGACCAGTCGAAAAGTATGAGAGCTATCTGGATAACTGACGAAGCTATCCATATTAGCTATCGTCACATATGCTTCATTTATGTTCATGTTCATGTTTATGTTCATGTCATATGTTTCTATGTGACATTCTCTACGAAGCAGGTACTTGTTATGTCAGTTATCCAATGTGTAGACTCCGTGAATTATGTTGAGAGTTAAAAGTAATTTACAGTATAAATTAAAGAAACACATAATGCACTTATCTTAAGGTAGTAGCTCTCTCCGGTGTGAAGTCCAAGAAGAATTTGGAGATCCTCAAGACCAACGACAGGGTTCAGAGTTCCCTCTTCCTTTTATCCTTAGAATCGTTTTATAGTCCTCTCCTGTTGTATCCAATAATCCTCCTAAACATATAGAATTGTGACAACAATTTTATATCTGAACTTCCATATTTACTCTAGTCTAATATTCAAGTGAACATTTTTATGAGTTTCAAGGATACTGTAATCTTGAGAACAATCGAGTAAAATATTGTTCTTCATTGGTTCTACAGAACGATTGAGAGTAAACAATTTGTTTTCAGAATAATCAGCTATACAACCTAACAGATAATTTATATAACTTACTGAGCAAGGTGGCTATTGGTTTGTTGAACAGTGTGAGTCCACGTGTTTTGGAATGACCCTTTACTTCAAAATCTTGACCAAACCTTTTTTGATTTTGTCGTTCGTACATTTGTATTTGATTTTTGATTCATCAACAACAATTTTGCTTTGTTTGCTGTAGCTGTAAACTTTTTAGTTCTTAAATATTTGCATTAGTTTCCAAGGATACGAAAATCAATTTCTATTTCCTAATCAATGAACCCTCCTTTCCTTGGGTAATAATCACTTTCCAATCTATTACTTTACTAATGTACTATATTCGTCGCTTTTCAACTTTAATGAATGAGGATTTCCATAAGAAAACAGACTCTCCGATATTGTTTTTCTGGATTCGGAACTAACGGAATTTAATGTAATCTTGTAATCTTAATAACATATTATTCTAGTATGACACAGTATTCTTCCCGGTTATCAAAAACATGTATGCTAATAGTCTCACGAACCTCTGACGTTCTTTCTTGAATGTAATAATATATTGTTATTGAAAGTAGACCAAAAAGGCAAGTGCCAACCCCTAAAATAAAATCTAACCCCATTAGGACTAATTATCCGTTTCTTTAATATTGACATGTTCAACTGATTTCATAATATAACATATTAAAAGCGGTGAGGTAGTGCAGTAATGTGTGTAGTGATTGTATGAACACAGAAATGTGTACGTGCAGTGACTTGTCATACGTTTATGACCAAATTACAGCTAGACAAATGAATTTGACATTTGATAAGGTGAAATTGACCCAAATAGGTATATTACGAGATGTGTACATGTGCTTATACATTATGTATATGAACATATTAATAATTCGTCTTTTCAACCATTTTCATTTTGTTACGCCTTGAAACGTTTTAAACTATTTTTTATAAAGGTTATGGGGATATGTTCTGGGATATTTGCTAAGGTAAAAGGTAAAGTAATGCATTTAAGCAACGTGTAATCTTGATAGCATATGTTTCCCATGGTCATATTTATTTGTTATAATTTTTTAAACTGAGTGATTAAAAATGTTGTGATTTCTAAATACCTATATGAGCAGCTTGGAATTGCCTGATAATGAACATGAAGCTGCGTTGGCAGTTAACGTTGTTTGATGTGTAGGATAACAGGCATTTGTGGCAGACATTTAACTAACCTGTTACCTCTGCGTTGTCTAGTGCAGATAAATCATGTATTTAAAACGTCCCGGAATGTGCGTGTGTGTTTAGTTATTCTGTTGCTCTTGGCGTTGTCAAGGCCCAAGGGTTAATTGATAGACGTGCTTATATGCCTGAAAGAATCATATAATATAAGGTAAGATCTTTATACTACTAGTTGAATTTTTTAAACATTTATTTTAACATACGCTACACTAAAATTAGTTAAGATATTATCAATTGCAAAAGAATATTAATTTAGAACAGTCCTTTTCAGATTTGTAATTTAAGCTAGGAAATATTTCGACCAACTAACTGTCGGGGAAGCTGTATGACGTCTAGTCTACTTAATTTTCTCAAATTCATTCCCAAAAACAATTATTTGGCAGAGACCCCACCCCTTACGATCAGTTTCAAACTTCGTGTTGAATATCATTGGATGAATAATGAAAACATTTCCAAAATATTTAAAAATTGAGATATTTAAAAAATGATATCATCAAAATCTAATTGTTATTTTCATTTTCATCCAATCTTTATGGTAAAAATATATTGCATGAAAAAGGCTTTATTAAGTTTGATATTGTACATTTATAACTATTAAACCATTTTATCTAAGGTGATGTTGACAGCAAATGTGCTGATTAATCCAATGGGAATACTAAAGCACTAATATATAGTGGAGCGGAGGCAACAAACCGATCAATACAGGTTTATTTGATAAAACTCTTGCTGTGGGTCTATATTTAAACATAAATTATAAGACTTAAAAACCAGTTTTCCTAAATAATATACTTTGTATCAGGCTATAGCCACTAAGATAATAATAGTAAATTATAATAAATAACTTATATATCTATGTTCTAAGTATTTTTCTTATCATACAATTGTTGTTCAATCTTTGAAAAAACTTTCTCAACTGACATTCGAGTATACAATATTTTTTATCTCAATATTTCGACTTTCAGTCACGTATATAATATCAAAATAAATCAATTCAATGGGAAATTAAAATTTATAAAATAATCGTTGGGAAAACAAGGAAACTACATTTTATGATTACAATGCAGAGACCTCGAAAGGAGGAAACTGGAGGTCTGTATTTACAGTGGTTTTCGCGTCACTTTACCAAAAGAAATTAAATTGAAAAGCCATCTAGTCAACAAAGGGCTGCAGCCACTGCCAGCAAAGAGCTTTGCACCCCTCTAGGATGTGCTACTTGCTCTTTGTGCTTTTCAACTGTTGTTACAGATTTTTATACAATATTTTGTGAAAGGACAATTTTAGGGGGAAACATTTGACCTAGAATAAATTTGAAATCTGTCGTTTTGCTCTGGTAAATAGTATAAAAATATCCCCGCCACAGCAATCCTGACTTCTAAGCAAATTTCCATTTGCCTGAATTGATTTTCAATTAAATCCATTTAAATAACATTAGGTTTAATGAGTACCTAGGTTTGCTGCTACAATGAAACTAATTAAGTGGGAATTTTTATAAAATACTAATAGCTTAGTATAAAACAAATAAATTCGTCATGTTTGATCAAAATATATCCATAAACAAACATGGGCAACATGGGAGTTTTTAAATTACAATTTTAAATTTTTTCCGTAACTAATAATTGTACAAAAACACTTTGATAGGATGAATTATTTGTTTTTTTAAGCTCTTTAAAAAGGTCTAGAAAGAAATTGGGAATTTTCTTGTTTTGCGGGTCAAAAATGAGAATAAAATACTACCCCATAAAACACCCTTTAAAACCCCGTTCCCATAGTCCGTTCATGCTGATTCGCATGCCCATCCAAGTTTATCCCGCCTTACATTTTGGTCCGAATTTATTGAAATTTGATTTGAAGGTGTAAGGTGGGATAAACTTGTATGAGTTTGTGAATCAGCATGATCGGACTATGGGAACGGGGTTTACGGGGTGTTTTATGGGGTAAAGATTGTTTTTGTATATAAACATATACAGGATGTCCCGGAACTGTCTACCAATATTTTAGGGCATTGCTCCTGGGTAAGAAACATTCCTAAATATCATATTTAAATTGTCCGGAAGTCCTTAGTTACTCACACAGCCGCCATTTTTTTTCAATTATTATTTTTTTTCTAAAGAATGGTTAAACATACGAAATGGAAACTTTGCACAAACATTTATGACAACTAGACAAAGCTACCACAAAATTATAACGATTTTTCAAATCCATAAAACAAAATGGCGGCCATTTAAATTTTTGTTTCTTAAATAACTCAAAAACCGTTGATTTTACAAAAAAATTACGAGAATCACGTTTTTAAGGCAATGATATTAAAAACCGATCGACACCTTAATGTTTAAGATTGAATTGAGATATGGCAGTTTTAGTGATACGTGACCGCTGGAGGTTACTTGCAGCGCATGCTGAAAGCGGTCACGTATCACTAAAACTGCCATATCTCAGTTAATACTAGTCCGATCTTAAAGAATAAGGTGTCAATCGATTTTTAATAACATTGCCTCAAAAAAGTTATTAAAATTTTGGTAAAATCAACAGTTTTTGAGTTATTTAAGAAACAAAGTTTTGAATGGCCGCCATTTCGTTTTATGAATTTGAAAAATCTTCAAACTTTTTTGGTGGCTTTAATTAGTTGTCATAAACGTTTGTGCAAAGTTTTCATTTCGTATGTTTAACCATTCTTTAGAAAAAAAATAATAACTGAAAAAAATGGCGGCTGTGTGAGTAACTAAGGACTTCCGGTTAATTTAAATATGATATTTAGGTATGTTTCTTACCCAGGAGCAATGCCCTAAAATATTGGTAGACAGTTCCGGGACAGCCTGTATATACATTTTAACGAATGGTTTTGGCCTCTGGGGATATCACAATGAAAAAGTAAATCGCTCCCGGGATTAGATCTTACGGTCCCACCTACGGTAATAGCTACTTCCCTATAAGGGAATTCGCTAAAAAAGAAAAATGTAAGGAGGATTAAGTTGGAGTGAATTTGAAAAATACCCCTAGAGAAAATCATTTAATTTTAGAACT